GACCTCGAGGGCTCCAGGGGAGGAGCTTTCTCACCAAGGGCATATAGAAACTACGCTTTCAGGGCAGTGGCTCTTCGGGACCCAGGTACACCTCTGGAGCAGGTGCTCATCCCTAAGGCCACCGCCTTCGACAAGTGATATCCGTACTTTTTCCGCGTCACAGAAGTCACTTCCGTGACAACACCAGTCACGACTCGACGAACCTTCGATATCGTAATGTCACTCGTAGTGCGATAAGACGCTGTGAAAGGTTCAAAGATTGCCTTTGAGAGTGCGCCTAAGGCTGTCTTGTCCCCAACCGTGTGTCAGTTCCCTCTCGCCGACGCCGCACAGGTCGTTTGCGCCCATGCACGATGTAATACGTCCTGCGCGATGAGGTTTCCAGAATTTGCCCTTTCGAGAAGCCGCTCAAATTTTGTGTTCGCTCGTGCTGACTTCCTCCCGGCACACCCAGAAGAGGGACCTTTGCCTTTCCGCGTCTTCAGGCTGACTCCTCGCAAACTAGCATGGATAGCGGATTGCGCAGGCGACTTTTGACTATATCGTGAGAGCACCGTGCGAACACATCGCTGGATGACCCAGCTGTTCAGTGCGTCATGTTCCGCTCTCATCGCCGTTCACACCATTAACGATGACGAACATATGCTCACAGCGACCATACCCCGTATGAACTCTTTCCCGTTTCGGTTCGATTGCACGCTCGTAGACATGTCCTCGGAATGCGGATGGACCAATCAGCGCCCGTTTTTCTTCTGGATGGTTGGCTGACCCCTGATACCGTCCAGAGTGCACAGCACTCCTATGAACATCGTTCCCTCTTCATCCTTTTATCAGTTCCATTTTGGGCACACAAATCGGCCATTCGAGCTGCTCAGCACTTTTCCATCACGAGCAATGGCGTCGCAACAATACCTGTTCGCTGGGTCCTCTACATTCGGGTGCCGAGCCTTCGTACGAACTCATCTCGACGCGTCAACTGTTCCGCACATTTCAGGATGATGCTACCGCATCCGATGCCCTTGATGCGATGTGCGGCACGCTTCGCCCCGGCGCCAGGCCTGATGGCCCTCCTCTCGATAATACAGTGGTTACAGTTTGTGGTCGTCCGATACAGCTGCACCCGGATCAGATCGCCGCTCTTCAAATGGCCGACCGGCCTCTTCCGATCATTGCGATCCATGCAGCGTTTGGAACGGGCAAAACCGTAGTCGGCGAACTTATCGCCTTTTTTCTTCCACACAGAAGACGTTTATAGCGACGGCCACGACTAACAACGTCACAGCACAGTTCACAGAAACCCTGCTTCGTCTTGACCAGTACCGTCATCTTGATGTCTTGTGTTACTTATCGGCCTCCGCCTTAGCTGAAGGAGCTCCTCGAACCTCAATCGATTTCCATACCATTCCGAAGGTCCTACCTCGCGCCTACGGACTTAATGTCGCCTGGAACTCGTGTGCGTTGCAATGCCTACCATCGCGGACGTGAACGACGTTTCCTTTCACTCACGATCTCGCCACCGAGCTCATCGACGCAGAGCGCGACGAGGACCATTTGGCAGAGCACGATATTTTGTGTCTGACCAAGGATGCCGTAGACGCGATTTCAGGGTTCGCCCTCCGGCGATAATTTTGACGACCGCGGCCCTCCTTAACTCCATCCCCTTCCGGGGCATCTTCAACGGTCACCTTAATGGCGCGGCCTCTCTCATAGGCGATCAAGCATCTCAAACTCCTGAACCCGTCCTTGCTGCCTTAGCCACTCATTTATCGCAAGCACACCGTATTTACATTCACCAGCTCGAGCCCCACGTCCGGTGCCTAAGGCTATCAAATCCCGTTTTGGCGCTCAGAGCATAATTGGATGTCCTGGTTGCGAAACTGGTTCCGTTGCACCTCTTATTACTACGTTCCGCGCGCATTCCCTCCTTAACGAGTTGCCAAATCTCATGTTTTATGGCAACACCTTGTCAGTGGCACCCCCGCAACCGACAGGCAGCTCTTCCTATCTACGGTGAGATGTCTTAATCCGGAGTTACTCTCCCTTTCCGATTCCTAACGAAGTCCCTTTCCTGCTCTCACTCCAACAAAGCCGAGGTCTGATCATCTTGGCGTTGCTCAGAAAGAACGTCAGTCCTGCGTCTTTGGCCATCACTGTCTTCTTCAAAGAGCAGAGTCCCTTTTAGAGCATTTCGCCAAGCGTACCCAAGTTGACATCCACACCGTAGATAGCGTTCAGGGGCGTGAGAAGGATATCGTAGTCCTGCTGACGCGCGCACGGCTTCGGCGCTGAGCGTGGGGATTTTCTCAACGACCCCTACAGATTGAATGCAGCCCTCTCCCGCTGTCGCCACGGACAATTCGTGACTGACCAAGAAACATCCTTAGTCGCTTGGCTTGTACTGGACACCCTACTTTGATGGGCGCGGAATCTGAGCGCCGTAACAATGACCGCATCGCTTCGGATTTTTTGTAATGGGGAGAGGTGTAGGAGTCCCTTAGTCATAAGCATCATAGATAGTTAGATAGTAGTGTCGTACCCAATCTACTTCTTTCATCAGTAGCTTATCTTGCGCAGGCTCAAAGGAGTGCTGGGAATACGGTATTGCTGACTCATCTCACGCATGGCATTTGAGGTCTGCGACGCCGTTGGAGTCCCGTAGGTCATAGGTCAGCCGATGGAGGCTTCTTCTCGGCATCCGGATTCCACCCTCGTCCAGCTCTACCGTTCGACTCGTCGCCGACATCCTCGTCCCCCTCGATGATCTCCACCACGACTGTCGCCTCATGGGCCCGACTCTCTTCCGAAACTCAACGACTGGACTGATTCATTTGTACTGCTAATGAATCAGTCTGCTTCTTGTATATTCAGAAGCAGCCCTCCAGCACGCAGGGTCATATAACCCGCAAATATGACTGTAAATGGAAGAAGGGAGGTAACACTGGAGCAACTTTGCAGCATAAATCCTACACCTTACAACTCGGCCGTAAAACCGGCACAAGTTTGATCATTGCAGACCACACTTCCCTCCCATAACATTCTTCCGCATTTTCGTCGCGTCGCTCCTTTAGCAGATTGCGGACCGCCGTACGCGCGCATCTCCGGAACATTTTGTCATTTTTCATCACTAGTTCATCAGTAATTCCTCGTTCTCTCCGATCTCTTATGAGGCATGATATTCCGGAACCGAGAGCGTATTTTCACAACATTAGGATACGGAAGAAGAGCGAAACCAATCAAATAACGCACCGCATAAGAGACAAATGACATGACACACCATGTGTGTCACGCGGTTCGGAACGTGTTTAACATTAGGTTGTCCGGAAAGTTCTCAGTTTGAGTGTTTCACTTTAAACGATCATAACTTTCTTAATACTCATCGGATTTAATCGAAATAAGCACCGTTCGAATCAGCACACTTTTGCCAATGTGACACCAGTCGATAAATCCCATAAAGGAAAAAATGGTCGAGAATCCACGAAGGCTTTTTTGCCTGGTCCTGATGAAGTATTTTCCAGCAAGGAAGTTCTGAAAATGTTTGAAAAGGTGATAGTCGGTTGGTGAAAGGTCTGGAGAATATGGCGGGTGAGGTAGAACTTCAACCCCCAATTCGTTCAATTTATGGATAGTGATTTGTGAAACGTGTGGGCGGGCGTTGTCATGCAAAAGAATCGGACCCTTTCTGTTGACAAGTGCTGGCTGCAGCTGACGCAATTTTCGGTACATTTCGTCGATTTCTTCACAGTAGGACTCTGCTGTGATGGTTTGGCCTGGTGACAAAAAGTTATAGTGGATCACACCAGCCGATGACCACCACACTGTGACCACAATCTTTTTTTCCGTGAGCTCTGACAGTGATCGGATGTCAACGAACCACCGAGGCTTTGGAAATTGCCTCGGTGGTTCGTTGACATCCAGTCACTGTCCGGAACGTCTCCTGTTATCATACATGATCCACTTTTCATCACAGGTGACAATTCGGTCCAAAAACGGGTCGTTTCTGTTGCGCAAAAGCAGTGAAGAAGAAACCTCGAGACGTGCCAATTTCTGCCGGTCACTCACACCCACTTGTCGAGTTTTTTCACCTTCCCAATGCGTTTCAGACCATCCGCAACAGTGGATTTGCCAACGCCTAGCTTTTCTGCAATCTCTCGAATTTGGGATGGGTCAGCCTCCACAAACGCCTTCAAATCCTCGTCAGGTATTGCTTTAGGTCGACCGCTACGAGGTTCATCTTCAAGGCTGAAATTAACGAAATTTGTCGAACCATTGTCGCACGGTGCTTTCTCCAACACTATTGGGCCCCCACACCTGGTTAATTTGTCGAGCTGTCTCGACTGCGGATTGACCCAATTTGTAGTTGAAGAAAATATCGTCCGAAGTTGCTCTTTTGACATGCTTCAAAAAGTCTTGGGAAAAGGGGGTTTATCAAGCAATGGTGAAACGGCAATTATACCATCAGATAGCGCAAAAAATTCTCTTCAGGATGTACTACTGAGACGCAAGGGAGAATGAGTTTTTAATCAGCAATGAATGTACAAAAAATAGTAACACAAAACGCTGAGAACTTTCCGGACAACCTAATAGTTGCTTCGTTGAACTAGCTGTTGATTAAAATGTTGGTAAGTTCACGCCATGAAGATGTTCATGAGACTATGGACAAAATTAGGACATGAAACTAAAATCACCCTCTTCTCTCGTGAAACATTCGCGCTTTTCCAGGTGAAAGTGCCCTTATACAAGGGTGAGTCTTACACCCCGGAAAAAGGGTAATCAATACATAAAACAATATTGATTTATTGGTGCAGTAACTATTATATACATATTAGTACCTATTTAATACTTCCGATAATGCTTTGCTGAGGAGAACACTTCTGTTGATATCTGCTAAATGAATCCCCGGTAGCTGAAATACACGGGCCAGATATCTTAGACATTGTTCCATTAAAAAAATTCATCTCCATCTTTTTACACCATTATTGAGCACATGGCTCTCACAAATGTCACATGATCACGACGATAAGAAGACAGAAGATAATGATCGGTGAAACCTCGTAAGCAATATCAAATGCGACATCCATAGGCTTCCTGGGTTCGCTGAAAAAAAAATTTAAAACGGGTCTTGTAACTACTTTCTCCGAAAATGACCTCATAGCTCGCATTTTTTTCGAAGGATTTTTATCGTTTACCCCGATCAAAAGATCCGTTGCAAACGGAGTCATGTGCGCGGCATTTGCTCCAGGCCTCAACTCGATTTACGTGGCAGTGCTGTCTTTTTTCAAGTCAACTGGCTAGGTAGTACTTCGCTGTGCGCACTGTCGCAACTCGCAACCAATGACACACACCTGTTTCATGACTATTCGTTCTTTAAATCCCTGAGATACAGTAAGCGCGGCTACATATACTGTAGTTCGCTGCGGAAGAAAGGGTGTGTCAGGCAGTATGAATGTGCTAAGGCGTCCAATCCATTCTCTTCCAGTCGTTGGAGCGGGTATGCGACAACAGTCTTTGGGCAGCGTTCATACTTCGCGTCAGGGCGATCGCGGTGACCTCGGCGACCTCGACCCGCCGCGATCGTCGGTACGTGGCAGAGCGCGCCCCAACGCTATTATGGACCGCTCGCTTGATAAATAAGGGAATCCAACTTGTGAGACCTTCTTTTCTCTTAATAATGGCTACTAACTGATAACTTACGACTTTCTATACATAAGCGGATCTGGAATATGAGGTAAGGAGGTTTCACTTCTTTTTAGGTCGGGATAAGGCCAACTCCATTTCCTGGGTGAGCTTCTTTTGTTTCTTTTGTTTTTATTGTTTCAATTTATGCAAGCGCCTCAAAATTTCCTATCGTCTGAACTGTTCCACTTACCAAAACATTTATAGTTTACAAGTCAAACAACGAAGAACAAAAAGGAACAGAAAGAAACTCACCTAGGAACCAAAACACTAATCATTTTACGCAACATCAACAGGTGAAAACTTTATAACCTCATGTATAAGCTCGACGAATGAAAAAAGAAACAATAAAAACCTACCCTAAATGAAGCTCTCACGCTTTTTGCTCATTTCTATCCTGAATCAAGAAAGAAAATAGAAAACAAAAGCCATTAAGTTGGGTTCACCTTTCTTTGTGTCAAACCAAGCTTCAGTACCTAAGAAAATTGCAGTTAAAGGAAAAAAAGCATGAAATTGAGTCGCTTCTCCCTAAAAGCCTTCGGAGCGGTCCAAGTAATAGCGTTGGGGCGCGCTCTGCCATGTACCGACGATCGCGGCGATCGCCGAGGTCGCCGCGATCGCCGCTGCTGTCGCGAAGTATGAACGCTGCCTTAGAAAACGAGCGATATGAAAGATGTGATTCATTCTCATAATCTGCTCCTTTCAACAACTGTTGGAGAGCGAATCTGGCACCGCGCCAATCTCATCTCGCCCGACACGATCCTTTAGGAGCAGCGAAATAGATTGTACCCATGTGGACGTAGCGGCGGTTGCGCTTCTGGTGGAACAGGTCGTTTTGGAATGACTGCAAGCATGTCTTCAACATAATGTGATGACACTCGTCTCAAACTGAAGCATTCCACGAACAGCTAATCTGCGTCATTTTCAAGTGAAGTAGGCAGCCACGCACACTACGTTTCAGGGGTGTGGAGCACTCATGCTCAGAACAGTTTGGAGTATAATCAAAGACAAGATTCGAGGACATTAAAGATATGCTCTACATTAAGCTCCGATGACTACCCTTGCGTGAGAAGAAGGAGCTGGTAATTGTACAAGTATACTGTAATTCTTTGGACCTCGCTTGGTATTGCGGAATGACGTGTGGCTAGCTGGATAAGCACAACTTTGCCCCGTTTCGTGAACTTTTAGGCACTTTCAGGCAAGTGTGACACGACGCTGCAGCTGCGAACCCATTCGCCTCGTACATGGCAAGGTAGGTGATTGTACACCTTCATCTCATAAAGGCTGGTCTTGCTTATCGCTGATAGTAAGCCGTGGCGCTTTTATCAAGCAGTTTCGATTCGCTAAAGATAGACATGCTCTGCTATTGAGGAATGCTGCATCTTTCCCCACAAAGGACATTCACTCGTTGAGTAATCGCGGGCACTGTCTTTAAATCATCTCAGCTTTAGATGGCTAAATTAGGACGAACGACACATCACTGTTGGAAATAGGAGCCCCAACGAATTTAATCATCACCCTTAAAGGACCTCCATACTGCGTCCAACAGTTTTGCAGGACCTAGCTTGTGAACAGAGCGGTACTGGACTGGAAACACTTGTCTATCGTCAGCTAAGCGTCTCTCCCATCTTCAGCTTGCTTTGATAATTGAACAAATATCACTTACTTCTTCGGTTTCTTTTTATTAAGGTAGAGAGTTCTCCCGTTCATTGGTTGCGTAGTGCGCCAGTTGTCAATCAGTAGCGAACCATCCTCTCTGAGATGTCGTCGGAGAGTCCGTAGCTGGAGCTATACTCATGGAGCAGATTTTCGAGGTTTCTAAATTTTTGCAGCATTCACCTGTACATCAGAGACGTAATTGGGCTGCACTAGGATGGTCCACAGCACGTTTTCACTGCAAGGTGGTGTCGTTAGGGATCCTAAAGACGATATCAATAAATATAAGGTTGAGTAGGAATTCTCGTCAAAATTGATTGTTGGCATTATTGAGTTCTGGAGGGTCACTTCATGTTACGAAAAGCCAAATTTATAGTTGGAGAAGTGAGGAAGAGTCATGAGACCTTTGCCCTCTTCTTACAGAGGATAACAATGGATGACGAGAGATCTGTTCCGTATAAAATGCTCCTTACCTTACTGTACTCTGCTTTGCTCCCGTCTAGTGTCGAACCAGCCGAGACTCATCGTCAGATACGCGTACGGGGGAAAACCTCAGGCCTACGCGCGGTAATAAGTTAATTCTCCTTTGGAAAAATGTGACCCCAAAGGAAAGCATATGTCAGGTCCTCATAGAACCTAAGAGCATAGAAATCGGCAAGACCGTGAGGGTAGGGATTGCTCCTGTCACAAAACGCAGGACCATTATTTGGCTTGACTGGGCTCATTATAGGAAATAAATCGTTCTCTATGAAATGCCATCTCAAGTTTGCTGTGTAAACGTTGTGAGAGGTTGTAATAAGAATATTTACGGCCCAACTTTGATAATGAAATCGTCATCTTCGGGGGCTCACTAGACGTTCCTTTGAAGTCCACTGTGGGACTCCAAATGAACGCCTAGTGAGCCTTCAAAGAGGTCATTTCGAAGCTTATAGCATTGCTAGTAGCCAACTGGAAAATTTGGTGGGCGGTGATGCGCATAAGCTTCTACACGAGTTCTCTGCAATACTATATTTAGGAGGAAACTCATTATAACAATACTCCCTTTGACAGTTCCCTTTTCACTAAGATGGCAATTTTCTCTGTGATGTAAATCGCACTATGGCGCTGTGGCAGAGGAAATGTGGGCACCGTTGAGCAGTTTGCTTATGTTTTCAGAGAGGGATCCACCTTCTCAGGTTCACAGTCACCTCCAAAAGATCCTGTTTTCTCCTTGACTGGACGACACGAGGGATCTTCCTGTGGTCCTGGGGTACAATGCTCACTCTCCGGGCGCACAAAACTAGGAAAACTAAAAGGGGTTATGTCCGAACTGCCCCCTGTCCCTTGCCTTAGCTGAGCAGCTTCCTGACAATTTTAACAAACTTTCTTTGAATTAAAAATGTCACCAATTGCAGAATCTCACCAGTGTATCTGAAAAACGTGGTTGTGTCGTTAGGAAGCATGCTTCCTGGAGTATAAGACGGGTTATCGCTCTTGGATTCTAAACATTTCAGCAAATCAGATTGAATTCAACAATGTTTGTAAAGGCCCTTTCTAACTCGCCACCAGAAATGGATGGAGTACCCCTGATGGGCTGGTGTCCTCGGTGACTTTTCGAGGTCAAAAAGAGCTTCACCCTTTGTAGCAAGTTGGAACTGGACGGCAACCTTAACAGAGTGTTACTTTCTAGTGTAACTGCCTGTCCGAGCTTGCTTTGCTAGCTGTTCAATGCTAAACTGCAAGTCGACACACTTTTTAGTTAGTTGATTAGAGTATTTAGCAATTTTCGCATGCGACTTACCACTGCGATACCATCAGGTACAAGTGGGGCAGTTGACTCGTTGAGATGCTCTCGAATGTGCACAAAATGTACCTGGAACACAACCAGATCAAAATTTTCTTATTGTGAGAGCGGGCAAAGCTGGCTCTCAAGTTTTCTCGACTTACGCGCAGCTCCACATTCATAATTATCTCTATCCATTTGTACCTTCAGAGCTTGCATCTGCTTGCTCTTGATCGGTTTCACCAAAATGATTAAAAGCGCAATCCACGACTGAATCTTCCTATGTAGTGGGTTCACGTTTGAATGCGATGAAAGTGCTAACCAAGTTGTCCAGTAAAAAAAATAGATGAGAAACTGCAAATAGCACCATTAGTGAACACACCAAATTCCAGCATTGCGCGAATAGGCGACGAAGAGAGATTGCGCGTACAGGAGACAGACCGCACAAAGCAAAGCATATATCTGGTCTGTCTCCTGTATATGTCGTCTATATGTCTATCGTGCTTAGGTAAAGCAGCACACATCACGATAGACATATACACGCGACAGCACTTCCCGTGCACGCTACAAAAGCATGCTGAGTCTCCGGCTGAACCGGTCGAGTGCACTACCCATTGCGCTACAAGGGCTGTCGAGCTGGCGGAGTGAAAGCGGCAATGGTTATATACTTGCCCGATCAGCGCGAGTTGGGCGTTCGAGACTCGTCGTTCGGGGTCTTACTTTTGCATATAACTTCAGCATTCTTGCGGTAACTTACACGGAAGCGCGTTCTGGCAGCGTTAACCCAACTGTAGAAACATAAAACTTTATTTATATCTTTCAGAACACGAATCAGCTTCAACGAATAATGGGGCAGTTGATGAAAGAATTGATGGCTGGGGCTGCCTCACACACTTAGTCCCATTTTTCCTTTACCCTCGCTCTTGCATGCCTGGTCTTACGATGACTATGCAGCTTGTCCCGGAGTTAGAGGTACTCGGATGTTCTTAGCGGGCATGGATCAGATGGGAGTTCTAAGCTTCCAGCCCATTTCCTGCGCCCCATCGTACAGCGGGAAGAACACATCTATAATACAGTGGTATGCCGATTCACAGTAATTATCTGATTAGAGATGTACAGAACGTCCAGAAATATGCCTTTAAACATAGCAACATACACACCCCTGACTGAATCACAGTCCCTTATGTCCTATTAGTAGAAAAGCTCACCCGTCCTTCACCCATGGGAGTAATTGTAAAATTAGCAAGGGAAAAAATTGAATGCATTTTGATCACTTACTTCCAAAGGATAATGTAATCCATCAAGAGTATGTTCGCTGCCGAAACGATCATTACCATCCCAATGAAAATGGAACTGTTGAAGGTAGTATCGTCCCACCAAATTCCCTCCTGAATATAGCATTATAGAGAGCTTCAGAAATTGGATAAGGTTATCAGTTCAGTTTAATTTCGGAGCTACTAGCCGTGTTGGTACTCTTTCAGGAGACTTCCGAAGAAAGGTTTGGGTAGCCTCTGAAGGACACGATTCAGTGGAGACGTTTGGCCATAAATGGTCTACTTAACAATGTCGTAAGTGCCAACAAATCACACAGCTAGTTACCAGCATTTGAAGGATTTTAAATCGGACACTTTTGGAACCAATTTGGAAACACCCTTTACACAGGACAGTCAATTGACCGGATCACTAAAGGCTACTACAAGCCCTATCTCGACAGCCATGTTCTCATGAGCAATGGATTCTCAATTTTTTTTTGTAATTTCTATTTGTGTGAGTTTTTTTGCACTTTTACTTTTTCGCGTAAGCATAGTACAAACTGAAAAGGGTTGAGACAGCGAAACGCATGCGACTCCGCCCACCTTCCTGGATATTTTTTGCGGATTCTACCTTCTATAACTTTTGTCATATCGTTGTTTTTACAATCACCTTTTAGCCACGCCCAAACTCGCATATTTTAGCAGAATTTCGATTTTTTTTCCGAAGTTTTCACAGTTTCCGTATGCCGCGAGTAGCACCGCCCACTACCAAGAGCTCCGCCCGCCTCGTAAAAGCTCGCTCACTTTTGAAAAATGGATAGAGGATAGAGATAGAAGATGGAGCAGGAAAGAGTCGCATTTGCCACCTTAGGGTCTCACTGTCGCTCAAAACAAACTTTGTCAACAACTCAGTTTCTGTGTTTACTGTTTCGGTTCTGTGAACGATGACGCAATGCGTGTGCTAGGAGCAAATGGAAGGAGTCCGAGACCGAAAAGTCGCGGTTCAGCACAGAGCGTCAAAGGAAATATCTGACCATGAGCTCATCATCTTCACCTAGCCATACAGCGAGTTCGAGCACCTCCGCTTTAGCAACAAGAAGGACTAAGGGTGGACCGTTGTGAGAGTTCTGAAGTTCATTGCCATCCACTCGCGCTGAATCCCAGCGCGTAAACAGAGCCCTGATTTTGCTCGAATAGTAACTTTCATGTATGTAGCGTCACATTGAAAAGATGTGATGTTCCTTCCGCCAGTGCAAAAGGCAATGCAAAATGGTCCTATGCTCAACAAAAACGGCGGTGTCAACACTAGTTGCATATTTT